AGAGGGGAGGGGGGAGCAGAAGCCAGGCAGATGCCTGTAGTCTCTGCCAGAGCTGCAGCCAGGGAGCAGAGGGGAGGGGCCAGCTCTGATGTGGAGCAGAGAGCCCTGCCCAGCCCAGAGAGCATGCCAGGATGCTGGGGGAGTCTAGTTTATCTTAAACCAGCAAGGCATCTGGGACAGATATTGATAAACTAGCTTGACCCAACTCAGTTAAGTCTGATACTACATTCAACCAGGTTTATCTCAAACCGATTTCAGCCATTTTCAAACTGGCTCATGTGCACTGAACATATGTTCTGTTACAGATTTAAACCAGTTTCTGATCATTTGAACTGCTTTGTGTGTAATGTCTGTCCCTAGCCCAGGGCTCTGATCCTGTAAAACCTATCTTCACTATGAGTAAAGATGTCTCCTATCCAGAGAGATTTTTGTTGAACCATGTTCCAGTTCCCAGAATGGCTTCTGCCAACCCTCTTGACTATAATGGTATTGGAAAAAGAACTAATAACGTGTGAATTGTGACTTATCACAGTTTAATCTAACTCAAAATAGAAAGCAGATATTCAGCATTAATTTGGGGGTTTTTTTAAGGGGGGAGAGTGTTCCTAGAACAAACACTGTTTATTAAAATTCCCTATTTTAAAAGCTTGCTTTATACTTAAGGTGACCATATGTCCTGGTTTGACCAGGACAGCCCCAGATTTTATAGGCCGGCTGCAACTGGTTGGTCAAAAGACCCGGGCTGGAGCCTAGTAGGGAGGTAGAGCAGCATGGTATGCCAGGCATGTGGATTGGCAGGCATATAGACACCCAAAGATGCCACATCAGAGATGCCTCTGATGTGACATCTTTGGGTGACTATATGCCTGCCCATCCTTGTAGAGACACACAGTGGCAATGGTGCCTGCCTGCCCACCTGCCTGGAGCACCATACCACTCCACCTCCCTGTCAGACTCTGATCTAAGACTGGATGGGACCAGCTTATGGAATCTGGGACTGTCCTAGCCAAACTGGGATGTATGGTCACCCTCTTTATATTTAGTAAAGTTATTCTCACCTTAGTCAGCTTATTCAATCCTTCCTCTCCCCCAAAATGAAGCTACCATATTCTCTTCTATACAGCATGCCTTGGAATATAGTACATACCTTGTTTTTGAAAGGCAGAATGAAGAGAAAAGATTTTTCCAGAGTTATGGTTGGATAGAGCGAGGACAGAGCTTAATCATGACCTGACACACCCTCCATTTACTGCTCAGCTAAATCTGAAACCTGAGCTAATGCTAAAGACTGCCCTCCATGGGTAGATCTGTGACTTTCAGAAGAGCTAAGGACTATCTAAGTCTGTAAAATAGGAGTAAAGGGACTGGAAGCAGCTAGCAGACAACTAACTTGCCCTAAGAAAGGTTAGCTTCATTAATGGAATATCAAGATCTTTAAAGAGGAGAGACAATCATTAAGACTGCTGGAGTGAAGAACAATAAGCTATTACATTAGCTGATTCCTTCAGCTGCCTGAATGGTAATGCAACAGCTGCTGTACTATGGAGAGGGGATCAAAGCAGGGTGACTATCTCAGGCTGGAAATCAGATTCCCCACTTAATACATGCACCCCAATTTTGGGGGTTGATTTGGGGAAGAAAGGTACATATTGGATGCAACAAATACAGTACTTACTTGGCTCTAGCATAAATGCCCTATTGCAGAATAATGTTATCCCCTTCTTTTCTGATGTTCGAATAAGGTTTATGATTTATGCAAAGATGCATCTGACCGATAGTCAGATTCAGAATGCAGGTCTCCTGATGCTCAGTTCCAATTCCAATGATTAGATCTCCTTACCTCTCAAGAGGAAAAAAAACAATTTTGATCTTAAAATATCCAACTACACTAAAAATATATGGAGATTAAGAGTTTTTTTCTGCTTTTATAACAACCAGTTATATTCTGTGTTCTGATAAATTCTTGAACAACAAAATTAAATTATTTTTTAGTATGCCATTCAATTTAAAATGATACTGTCAAATTTAATTTTTGTAGGTCTTCAGGTTACCATTTTTTTAAATTATATATTTTTAATATCTCCTTCCCTGCCCCCCCCACCCCCAAGTTAGGATTTTTCCATTTGACAAATATTAACTGTCCTTTTTCCCTCTTCTGTGTGTTTTGAATGCTGATGACAACAAAACGTTAGTCTTATATGTCAGGAAAACTTTTGAATGCAGTTTTGTCATATTGCATCACTTCTGCACCAACCAATTTGTAATCATTGTTGCAGAAGTAAAAATAAGAAACACTAGGCATTTTAGCTGTGGCTACACAACCAAGAATGTTTTGTCTTTTTTATAATCAGTAATGTTATTGATGCTACATTATACACAGAAATAAAGGTTCAGGAGGATACTGTTACTATCCCCACTCACTCCCTCCCCCCTCTTTGTTTTGTAAGCTACTCTGAGCCTTTTGGTCAGGGAGGGGTGTATGTATATGTATATATTTTTATCGTGGAACCACATACAAAGACGAGGCAAAATTCTACTAGATACTAAACATCTAAAGGGTTTTTCTTCTCATTTAAATTCTGATTTAATTAATTCATTTTTAATCTTGCTTTGTATATACACTTTTTTGTTTTGAAAGAAATGCTGGTTTGTATAAATATTCAAACATGCTGATTTGCAAATAAATATAGCTTTTCCATTAAGTATGGTCTGTACACTTATACATTTATATAAGCAGTTATACAACTTATACATTTATTCTGATTCTTAATTTTAAAATTGTTGTTAGGAAGTGATGAATGGCAGTTTTCTGGAAATTGGAAGTCATTTTAAAATGAACAAAAGAGTGTAGGTGGTGTTAAATAAAATAGCGTGGGCAGGAGACACATAGTTGGTGTTTTAAATAACTGATTCCTTAAACAAAGGATATATTAACCTTAGTTAGTTGCATTGTTTCTCATCACTGAGCCAGACTTTCAAAATTTCTTAATGACATTTTTTCCCAAATGCTACAGCAGTTTGTGCCCAACTCCATTGAAATTAATGGGTGAAATCCATGGGAACTAGATGCCCAGTTTTTCAAAATATCCTACTAAACATTTATGTGCCTCTTTAGGTCTCTAAGTAATTTGAATATCTAACCCCATTTACTTTAGGATTGCTAGGTTACATTCTCTCTTGATGGTTCTGTTCAAAATTCATTTGTCAGATTTCAGAAGGGGAATCACAGTTTCCTACTTTTTCAGCTTTAATTCAGGTACTAAACATTGAATTAAACGAGAGAAAATGAAAAAAAGGAAAAATATCTTTGCATCTAGTAGTTATACTGAAAAGAAAACTAATTAAGGGAAAACCTTTCTATGTAATAGAAACTGGATATAATGACATTTGGAAGAAGGTAAATACCACCATTTGCTCTATTGTAAAAACATAACGTAACAGATAATTAATGTAGTACATGATGATATTGTGGCAGATTTATAAAGCTTGAATTGACCTCCAAAGTTACAGATGTTCCCTTTAATTTTGTATGTAGTGAAGAAAACCTTCATTAAAATGAAAAACAGCATGAAAATTTGCAGAGGGGAGTATGTTACTTTTTTATTTATTTAAATAATTTTACTAGGTAGTAGTAAGCTAGACTTTAACAGAGCTGTGTCTTAATTTCAAATTTAACTTCATGCTTTTAAAAAGAAAAAAATAAGAGGATTAAAAAATATATATCATTTTTATCTACCCTTCATCACATTATGCTTCTAAAGTAGGTCAGAATTTCAGCCTCAGATCTTGATAAAGACATGATACTGGACATAGTGGAACATATGTTATTCATCTATAATTTAGACATAAGATCCATTAGAAACATCAGCTGAACTGAATTTCATAAGGTGAAGACTGAAATTTGATGTAGTATGAGTACAGAGTAATGTATATAGATGATGAAGGACATTTATCTGTCCTTTCTAATTCTGATCTACTTGTAAAGTCATGTCCCCTTTCAAATCCATTAGAAACTCATAAGTAATATAATAGGACATGCAGTTTTGGCTGCATTGTATTATTTGCTGCATTGTACGTATAACTTGATAAAACAGTTCGCTTGGGAATTTTGCCTCAGCTGTATGCAATCTTTCCCTTTTGGCCACTGGAGCATGCTGTAGCAACCACCTGCAGTACCTAGGCATCCAAGAGGTTTAAAGAAAGAAGCTGAACTTGAATGAAATGCAGTACAGTGTTGTTGCCATTCCCTTGTGCAGTACTGGAGCCACATCATCCACAGGCAGGGAACAGCAGTTAATAGACGTGAGAAGCTTAAAAAAAATTCCTGCTCAGCATTGTGGACAGTTTGAGAGTTTCAAGTTTGATGTGCCAAATGAAGCACTTGGGGCCAAAGAGCACTCTGGCCAGTGGGAGAGAAGGTCAGAGCAGGGGTCTGGATTGTTATAAGTGAGTAGTTTGTATGTGCACAGTGATGTGTACATTCACATCATAACATGAAGGTTAGTTAAAAAATAAGAACAATAACCCCCCATGCACACAATTATGATGATTGTATTTAGTATTTAGTATTTCTGTAGTGTTG